CAATCGTACGACATGTCCCAATTATCCTGATTGGCTGCCTAATAATAACCCACGGAGACGGAGCTCCTCTTGAGCATGCAATATGGCGTTATGGTGATTGCGACATATGACGCCATGCTGAGGAGTTCAGTGTCATGTGATAATGCTGAGAGAGATCCGAGATCATGTGACTGGATGCCTCGTTATCTTATCTCATTAGGTCACGTGACTTCTTGTGCGACGAGAAATGATGAAAAATGATATGCTCCTTAATAGCATTTGTTCCTATAATGACTTTGTCAGGTAAAACCGTGACATCACCCCCTTCTCAAGGTTCATCGTCCCGATGAGCCAAAGCCTTTGGCGCCTCGTATGGTTTGCTTTGCGAGTGAGCTATCTGCTTCCGAAATGATTCCTGGAGCATAACACTCGCATATGAGTTGTGCGACACGATCGCCTGTTCTGATCTCGAATGGTTTGCTGGTCGTATTAACGAGAAGCACTTTGATTTCCCCTGTGTAGTCTGGGTCAATTACCCCTGCTGCGACATCAATTCCTTTGAGGGCTAGTTCACTTCGGGGAGCCACTCGAATGTATGTCCACTTTGGGGGATCAACTGCAAGTCCGGTGCCAATGAGCATTCTGGAGTGTGGGGGGATATCTATGTCTTGTATGGACTTGACATCCCAGCCAACAGCTTCTGCAGAACCCTTGTAGGGTGCTCTGGCATTTGGATGAGTGCGGAAGAAGAACATGAACTCATCAGGGTGGTCGGATAAAGCGATTTTGTGCGCTTTGCGTGTTCGCGGCTTTGCTCTTGGAGCGTTTAGGTGTGTCTTATGGAATTCCTCTACTTTGTCTTTGACATTTGTGAGGTTTTCCAGCGGTTCCCATGTATTATCGCTGTGGTCATAGTCTAACCATTTAACGAGATACTGGGTCTTGTTATACCTGACTCTAGAATCCAGGATGTCTTCCACATCCCATTCCTCTTCTCCATCGATGATGACTGGAGGATTAGGGGGAGGTACGCATCCCGGGATAGAGTCTTGATGGAACATTATGAGCTTTGAAGCATGAAACACCAGATGTAGCTTCATGTCTGCCGGTAATTGCAGTTTGAATGATACGGTTCCGATCTTTTCGAGGATTTTGAAAGGTCCATAGTTCTGAGTCGCAAGCTTCTGGCTTTTGACCTTTACGTGGAGATCTTTTCCTCGAATAAGCACTTCGTCTCCTTCTTTAAAAGGGACGTTCTGTTTCTTGAGATCGAAATACCATTTCATTCTTTCTGCCACTAGTGACAAAGCGACACGAGCTTGTTCCTGTGCCTGGTCGCGGTTGTGGAATAGGTGTTCCAGGGATGGATGTTGTATTCCTTCCAGTACGTCTGACGCCATTCGGGGGTGTCGACCATGCTCAATGAAAAATGGGGACAGGCCTGTCGATTCTGAAGCTTGGTTGTTGTATGCGAATTCCGCTGTGGGCAATAGTGTGGCCCAATCAGTTTGTCGGTAATTGCAATACATGCGCAGATATTGCTCCAGAATTTGGTTGACTCGCTCGGTCTGTCCATCTGTTTCAGGGTGATAGGCTGTAGACATCATAGATTTGATATGAAGTTTCTGGCAGAACTCCTGGAATAGCTTGGCTGAGAACTGTGTGCCTCGATCGGATATGATCTGCCACAGAATTCCGTGGAGTTTAAATACTTCAGTGTAGAAAATCGATGCTACTTGAGATGCTGTCACCATGTCGTCTACTGGGTAGAAGTGTGCATGTTTGGTGAACCTGTCGACGACTACCAGAATGGCAGTCTTCTTTTCTCCCCTATGGTCTGGGCTTGGCAGTAACTGCGTAATCAGGTGGCATGTAACCATTTCCCAAGGTCCTTCTGGTACTGGATTAGGTTGTAACAGTCCATAAGGCTTTTGCTTGCTCGTCTTGTTTCTTTGACAAGTTACGCAGCCTTGGACGTATTTTTTTGCATCAATGGTAAGCCCTGGCCACCAGTAATTCCTGCTAATCAGCTCTTGCATCTTCCATCGTCCAGGGTGTCCGGCCGTGAAGATGTCGTGGTGCAGCTGGATCAGCTCATTCCGCAGCACAGAGTCCTTTGGAATGTAGACCTTTCCTCTTCTGAGCAGCAATCCATGCTCGAAGTTCCATTCTTGGAGGTCTTTTCCGAACTCTCGCTTGCCAGTTTTTAGTAGGTGCTGGTAACCTTTGGTCATTTCATCATCTTGTAGTGCCGATTTCACTCTTTCCAGAAGTTTTGCATCATCAACTTCGGAGGAATGAGTGGCTGAGATCGCGTGGATGGCAAAATATTCGAGTCGAAGCAAAGTTTGCCCTGAATTGTCATTGCTCACCCCCTTCTCATGATCTGGCCTCCTGGACAGAGGATCGGCACGCATCATCATCTTTCCGGGGCGGTGACGGAGTATGAAATTGAAACGTGTAAGGTAAAGTGACCATCGAGCTTGTTGCCTGGTCAATGTCTGAGCTTGTCAGAAATAGGTAAGATTTAGGTGATCCGACCATATCTCAACCGGGTGAGGGTGTCCTTCAAAGTACTGCCGATATTCTTCTAAAGCCCAAATGATGGCTAGCATCTCTTTGTCGTAGATCTCGTAATTTCGCTCATGTTCATTGAGTGATTTTGAGTAATATGCGACTGGATGCCAGAGTTCGTCTTCTCCCAACTGTTCAAGGACTGCACCTGTGGCAAAGTCCGAGGCATCCGTTTCTAATCTAAAGGGACGGACTGCGTTGGGGAGTGCTAGAATTGGGGCAGAAGTGAAGGCAGTCTTGAGGGCCTCAAATGCCTTTTGTTGAGGTTCTTCCCATTTCCATGTTGTGTCCTTACAGGTTAATAGAGTCAAGGGTCGGGTCATCGATCTGAAATCCTTGATGAATCGTCGATAGAAATTTGCCAGACCAAGGAATGCTTGTACTTGCTTTACCTTGGTGGGCACTGGCCATTTGAGCACGCCGTCGACCTTTTCTGAGTCCATCTGTATCGACCCTTTTGAGATTATGAGTCCGAGAAACTTGACGAAAGTGGTTGCAAAGTGACACTTTTCTGGTTTCACGAACAGGTCATTGTCTCTGAGTCGTTGTAGGACCTCCTTGGTCAGACGGTCGTGTTCCTCCTGGTTATCCGTAAAGATGATAATGTCATCTATATAAACTGCCACCTTTCCAGTGCGAATGAGATTGCCTAAGACGTCGTTCATCATGGCCTGGAAAGTGCTAGGGGCATTACAGAATCCGAAGTACATGACAGTGGGTTCAAATAATCCTCTGTGGGTAATGAACGCTGCCTTTTCCTCATCTCCTTTGCGAAGGCGTACATTGTTGTACCCCCATCTCAGGTCTAGTGTGGTAAATATGCTAGCCCTGGAGAGTCCATCAATGAGATCGTTGATTCGTGGGAGTGGGAACTTGTTCTTCTTGGTGACACTGTTTAATGCACTGTAGTCTTGGACAAGTCTAAGAGAGCCATCTTTCTTCTTGACTAAAAATACCGGAGCGGCGTAAGGGGATTTAGACGGTCGAATGTAACCTTTGGCTTGTTCACCGTCAATCCATTCGTCGAGCGAGTTCTTCTCTTGTAAAGACATAGGGTATACTTTGGCCGGTCTTGGGGTTGCCGCGTCTGGGACGAGATCAATTGCGTGATCATAGGGCTTACGCGTCGGCATTCTTTCTGAGCTCTTCTTCGAGAACACATCTCCAAATTGATGAAATTCTGGAGGGACGAACTTGGACCAATATTCTTTGTCCTGTGTCTCTTCTGCCAGCTGTTCAACCAAATGCTTCTTTACCTTCTTGCTTATACCTAGGATGTCGTGCACCATGTTACGAAGATCCTGGTCTTGCAAGTCTATCCAGTTGATGAAGTTATCTTCCTGATCCCATCCATCATCCATGTGTACGTCCAGAAGAATCGCTTCATCCTCGAGTCGAGGTTGCGATAGAAGGTTGACTTCTTCTTCACATACTTTGACTCGCTGCTTCCTCGTGTGTCTGCATCTTGAGAACGTGACCTCTCTATGTTCCCAGTCAACTCGGGGGTTATGTTCTTGTAAAAATTTCATGCCAAGGATCATTGACATGCGTCCAAGGTTTGTGATGAGCAAACTCTCAGTTGATTGGTGCCCCCCCGATTAAGATGGTTGTGACTACACGATGAGTAATTGCGCCACCCTTGTTTGGGCTGACGTCTGCGTTGAGGATTCAGATTTCATGGTTTAGAGGTATCATCTTAAACCCGTGCTTCTCAGCGAATCTTTGGTCGATATAGCAGGAGAATGCTCCCAAATCCAATAGTGCCGTTGTCTGGATTTTCTGTGATACGAATCTTATCGGCAATTCGATCAAATGTTTAGAAAAACCTGCGGATGCAATATATATATGGTCGCTAGGTACATTTGTCTTCACGGTACTATTACAATTGTCCTGAAGTGTGACACCAGACTCGTCTACACTTCGTATTGAAAATCCTCTGAGAAATCATCTATCTCGATGATTCTCGCATTGGTGTCCTTAACCGTTGATGCTGATGCCGTTGATGCTGTGTCCACGTTCTTCGCCTTGCCTTTGCCCTTGCTGGACGGTGGTGTAGTCGACGTTGTGCTCATTCCGCGAAGTGCAGCAATTGCTTGTTCCAGTGCCGCAATTTGAGCTGATGAGCCCACGCTACTTTCTTCTTCCACCTGTCGCACGTTCGTCGCTTTGCCCTTCCCTTTTCCTTGCCCTTGCTTCGGGGCGGATCATGTCTGAAACTGCTTGCCTTTGTATTCTGGCTTGGGGGAGGGGCACCGCTTTCCTCATTCATAGGCGTGTTTTCCGCAAAACAAACATAGTTTGTTTGCCAGCCACCTGTCTTGTTCCAGGGATAGTTCGTGTGCGATTTGTGCGCTTGTGTCCATTGCGTTAGGGTCCTTGGGAGCAGTTGCCTTATTTGCCGTGGTCTGTCCAGTAGACTTGTTACCCGATATCTGCTGGAGGTGTTTGATTTCTATTTCCGAGCAGAATTCTAGATAGTCCATCCACGTGGTTGGGATCTTTGATGGGTCCAGAGTCTCCGTTACTGACATGACCATTTGAATGTGAGTCGACCGTTGTTCCCTGATTTTGACGATCAGATCTTCGTCAGAGTAGCCTGATTCGGGGGCGTAAGCCCTGAAGTTCTCTGCGAAGGCAATCATTGTCTTGTGGTGAATCGCGCAGTGTGCATCTAGCAAAGATTGTGCCATGCGCTTGGGGTCAAGCATCTTGTATGCCATTTCCAGTTTTCTGGTATATTCGGCCCAGGTGCCGATGTCTTGTCCAGAGGCAAGCTTGATTGCATACTCCTTTATATATAGAGCTGCTCCACCTTCTAGATGTGCGTTGGCCTGCCGAATTTTGTCCTTGTCATCGGTGAAGTGGTTGTAATCGAGCCAGATGAGGAGGTTCGTGAACCAAGTCTCGAAATTTTCCGATGATTTCCTTCCCGAGTATTTGGGTAGATCGGGGAGCTTAATTCGGCGGGGCGATTGACCAGATTAGCCGGACAGCGGTTGGATACCTTGTGAAGGTGCATTGATGATGGCATTGTTGAATCGAGACTCCAAGCCAACGATGTAAGTAGTGGTCTTTTCCTGAGCCTCCTTCAGGGTGACCATGTTGCCATAAAGGGCGTCCATCTGACCCTTTACTTCATCTTTGTAATCTTCGAAGTCCTTGTGGATTGCTTGGGCTTCGAGCGTCGGACTGTTATTCGACTTGATGAGCCGTTCGTTGTCAGCGGAGAGGGTGCCGATCTGGCTCTTGCGACTTTTAGCTGGTCTCGTATTTTCACTGCCATTATTTCGACGTGGATATGAGCCATCACTTCATCTTCCAACGAGGCCACTGTGTGCTCGTGTCGCTCATCCATCTTTTGACGTAAAGCTTCGTACGAGCTTACAACGTCTCTCATGACGAATGATCGTACCACATTCATTACCCATTCCTTAACGTCGTTTGGGATGGTGTTGGATGCGGCGGCATTGGCAGCTTCCTCGATGGTTGCATAAGGAACTCCCTGCCATTCCCAAGTCTGAGGTGTGGAGAATGCTGGCAGGGTGGTGGGCGACGGGTTTCTGACTACTCCCGATGCCTTGGGTGTGCTGCTAGTATGGGGTTCATCTGCAGGGGCAGCTGGTCCTGCTTCCGATGGTGTAGAGGGGGCATTGCTCCTCCAGGGATCCGAAGGTTCACTAGCGGTGTGTCCTCCTGGAAACGCAACACCTCCAAGATTGTATTGAGACATGGGAATCGTTGTTGAAGATAATGGAAAAGAGGCGGTGGAGAGTGTGTTCGAAATGATGAGCTTTTACTGGGGCTGATTATTGGCTCCCGGTAAACGTGCTAGTTCGATGACATGATTCCTTCATGCCGCAGCTTCTTCCAGTCTTGTTGGGCGAGGGTGTCTCTGTTCTGGAAAGTCTCTGTACCAGTTTGTCCAGAAGAGTTCTTTGTCTTCTTGATACAACTGAGCAAGACGTTCCCAGTAAGCGTTTTCTATCCACTCACGAACTGGATCGATTATCTCGATGTCTGTTTCAATGAGTCAAAAGGGTGTGTACAGGGTGACTTGTCATTCGATGTCAACCGGATAGTGGTAGAGCGGGATGGAATGCTCTGATAGCAGGGGTTAGTAGATGAAGTATCCTGTGCACACCAGATGATGATAGAGGTCGGTGATGTAGTGCTCGACCACGTAGTTTCTGAATATAAAATTGACTTGATACCGGGGCATGAAATTGCTGATATGGTAGTACAAAGATATTACTGGTCCTAGTATGGCCAGTAGCACGACTCCTTCTCGAACCTCACAATGTCTCTTCCTACGCGTTCCTGCTCCTTGTTAATCCCTCTGAATGAAATCTTCCCTAGTCCCATGCAAAGCTTGATAGTGATGCATCTATCGATGAACGTAAAGTCGTCGCCTCTCTCAATCCTCTCGTTGAGTGCTCCTAGATGTCGCAGAATGCGATCACAGCACTGGATCTGTTCCTCCGTGAACTTGGCAGCGATGTGGGGCTGCTGCAAGACTTTGTAGTGCTGGATGGTAGCGTATATGGTCGGCGCAATGTTCTCGGGAAGGGTGCCTTTGGGGTTTTCATGAATCCCTCGAGGGTGATAGTCCTTTGAGAGTGTGAATGCGAGGACGGTGGTGGCGTCGTCGTTGGACCACCAGTATGGTTTGTAAATGGGGACGGATGGGTCAGATGCGTCTCTGGGGATTGCTTCAGCCCACGAGCTGACCTTAGAGTGAAGCTTCTGTAGGTCTGAGTGATAGTCGTCAGGCTTGGCTCGGAGTAGGTTGCTCGCCGTTAGGCGAAGAGTGCGACGCAGATCACGTTGGTAAGGATGATAACGTCCGTTGGGCGGAACAATACCGTTGTGCACTTGTGGAGCTTTACCGGTCAATGCAGCGCTGTTCCTTTGGAAGGAAGGGAGCGGCTTAGGCGGTAGAGGTGAAGTGGAATGGTATGAAGGAAGTGGTGTGGAAAAAGCCCTGCCCTGGGCGGATGTATCTCTGGGCAAAAATGTGCGGCTACCAGTGTTAGACACTTGGTAGGGGCGTAAAAGGTCAGTCTTATTCTAATGTCACGGCACGCCGATGACAAAGATAGACAACCAAAATAAGGAATCCCCTTAAGGGTCTCCTGGCTGAGAGCCTACAGCGACAAGCTGTGGCAGTACGACATGCCCACTGACGAGGCCGAGTCGCTAGTCGCAAAGTGAGACTTACTGGCGAGGTGAGAGGCACTATCACAAGTGAGGGTGATACTAGATATATAGCACACTGAGAGTGTCTGGTAAGACCCCTCTGTGATGATAGTGGAGGACGAAGGAGAATAAGACTGAGGTCTCCTCCTCGTCTCGCTGGTCCTTATATACATGATTGCTATGCTACTGTACAGTACTACCTAAGCGAGTCACACGCTATCCTACTGGTCAGTGCTACAATCGTACGACATGTCCCAATTATCCTGATTGGCTGCCTAATAATAACCCACAGAGACGGAGCTCCTCTTGAGCACGCAATATGGCATCATGGCAATTGCGATATATGACGCCATGCCGAGGAGTTCGGTGTCATGTGATAATGCCGAGAGAGATCTGAGATCATGTGACTGGATGCCTCGTTATCTTATTTCGTTAGGTCACATGACTTCTTGTGCGACGAGAAATGATGAAAAATGATATGCTCCTTAATAGCATTTGTTCCTATAATGACTTTGTCAGGTAAAACTGTGACACTGACTTATGATTCAACTGAATCCCATCACTAGGAGAGACGGTCTCACAGGCTTTGGCCCCAGTCTTCGGCACCACCAGAGTGTTCAATTCTGATGGTATGTTGCTTTGGTCTCATTTCATGTTCTTGTATCCATGATGTCCGGATAACTCTAAGGCAATATGTGGAAGTGTGTACCCGAATTTATCAGATATCATAACACTTCTTTGATCGTTTTCAATATGTAGGTGGCACCGATCCATGATGCGCCTGTTCTTCAGCAGAGACCACATCAGCCATTCGATCTGTTCAACAGACACGTTGGTGCATTTTTGAGCTCTTGCCTGACTTTTCGAAGATGAAGTTCAATATGCATTGGTCTCAGATGAGGCACTTGACAGAATGACTGAAAACTTTCGTGTGGGACATGCGGTTGACTTTCAGGTACGATACAGCTGTCTGGCTGCCACTTTCCCTTTTCCGCATAATGTTTATGTATCATTGATAGGATCTCACCTTGCCGTTCACGCTAGACTCCGCAACTGAGTTTTTGTTTGGGACCTCCGTGCATTCCCTTCGGGCACCGCTTCTGCGCTCTTACAGCTCGACCCACAATAGCTTTGCTGATCATTCTCCCTCATCGAACCACGCTACGGCAGAAGCCTTTGCTCATGCTGTGCATGAGGTTGAAGTTGCATGTGTGAAACATCTGTGGTGAGGATGAGCGTGGCCGTTGAATGAGATATTCAAAGATCAAAGCGCACGACATATGCATGTTATTGACGAATTGCTCAATCCAATCATAGAGAAGGCACTAAAGATGCGATATGAGAAGACTGCAAGTGACAAGTCAGTCGACGAGGACGAGGAAGAGACGTTTTTGGACCACTTGGTACGGAGCACGACTGGTGGTCTATTTCGAGTCTCTTCATCTCATGATACTTCAGATCCTGTCATTTTACACGACAAAGTCCTCAACATGCTTGTGGCAGGGCGAGACACAAACAGTCTTCACCTGCCCCTTCAGATGATGCACAATTCTCACGAGGACATCGGCAAAATCCAGACAGCTTCCACACTCACATTTGCAGTTTACATGCTCTGTACCAATCTGTCCACCTTCGAGCGGCTCTGATACGAAGTCCTCGAGAAAGTTAGCCTGTCACGGCAGCTGACCTATGAGGACATCAAGGACATGAAGTATCTCCATGCGCTCATAAACGAGACACTGCATTTGTATCCTATCGTGTATGTCCCTCTTCTTTTGTATAGGCACTATCACACGCTCATAACGATCCTCAGGCCATTCAACTCATGGTACGTTTGCCTACATAGCTGACCAGATTCTAGTCTGCTGAACTTGGTGACTGTGTATCGCAAGGTTCTCTGTCAATGCTGCTACAATCCTGAACCCCGATCCAAACGGAAAGCCGATCTACATACCTCCCAATACACTGTACGTATCAGAGTGAAACGTGCAAATGACAATGGCCGTTGTTGATGCAATCACTACAAGAATTTTGTATCAGCCTTTCATCATGCATCATCGCACAGAATACTGGGGGCCAGACGGTATGTGTTCCTCCCTGTTTAGCATGCAAGAAATGTTGACGAACGGTTTACTGTTAGCCATGGAATTCGATCCCGATCGCTTCCTCGACGAGCGTCTGCAAAAGTATCTCCTTCTGAACCTGTTCATTTTCCTCCCTTTCAATGCAGGGCCCCACATTTGCCTCAGGCAACAGGTACGCTACTCCAACAGGTGTTGTATGATCTCCATGACAGCAATCCATGAACTCATCGGAAACATAGTTCGCATATAATGAGGCGTCATTTTTCTTGATCAAGCTGCTGCAACGGTTCATGGCCATGGAGCTTGACCTCTCAGCACAACCTGTCGAATCTCTCCCTCCAGTGCACTGGGTGGGCTCGTGGGGGCGGCAGGGCATCGAAAAGGTGTGGCTGAAGGTGCACATAGCGATATATGCAGAAGTGAGTTCTGGAAACACCATCATGCCTGAAATATTCAGCTGTTCTAACCTTGACGATGTTTTATAGGGAGCTTATGGGTTAAGATGACGGAAGCTGAATGAACTCATGGTCCAAACTGATAGCATGAAGATGCTGTTGACTTTATGGTTGGATGAACCAGTACGGTATTCGTTACATTCCTGTTCGTGCGATAGTTCAGACGTCGTACATGCATCTGCCACCAAGATGAGACACTTCTAGGCATCTTAACTTGAGCGTGTGGACGCCTTTGTGTCTTACATCCCGTAATACTAGAACCACTACATTTAGCAGCAATAGAACAATCCTCAGCTCATCCCATACCGAATAGATTTATAAGCCCCCAGATATCCCAAGGAGTTACTATATGGCCGCCAAAAATACATTATTCGATCTTCATGATTGCGTCCCTCAGGAAAGGCCCTTGATTAGGTCCGCAAGACATTTCGCGATCGCAATGATCGGTGCAGTGGGGTATCCGGAAAGTTGGTTAGGAAACACGGAGGTGTAGGTGACCCTTCAAGTTAGACCCTCGACTCCATGCATCCGAAGTTGCGGGTCCACTGCGCTGTCAGCGAGAGAGGTTTCCATCCTTACAGAGGATGTCTGTAGGAGGACGGTCAGTCCTAGAACTTGGTGATGCTTGCCCGGGAAGCTTCCATAGTGCCATACTGACTGGCCATGCTTCTGGATCCAAGTTCTGATGTCTTCATCGGTGACCTAGAAGGCTATGCCAGATCCAGTCATGCACGCGAAAATCGTGGTATTACATTATTTGGATCGACATTGCTGGGCCAAAAGGCATCGAGGGGAGGCGAATCCAGACACTTCATATCGAGGTCACTCGTGAGCGGCCCCACATGAGCCAAGGCAAGAATGAAGCGAAATCCCCTGATGAGGATCTTGGCATCATTTTCTGATGCCAGGTAGCTGAAGAGATTGTCAAGCGGGAGGTACACTGAGAAAGGCAGGATAGCCACGCACTTCGGATCGACCAATGGTTGGTCTCAGACGTCGGAAGACCAGAGATGCACGGTGCCAGAGCTCTCCAGCTTGAGGATGACAGGACCCTGTTCCGCATCCAGAAATCCTAAGAGCTCAACGTGAAAGTGAAGATGAGAGAGGATGTACCACAGTGAGCCCATTTGTGCCCAGAGGGGTCTTCGTGAAACTGTTGTTGACGACGGCAGAAATGGCAATGACAATCTCTACATCCGGTGCTCCAGGGCCAGCACTGTGGTCGACTGTTCCCAGTACAGGGGCTCCCGCAGGACCTAGAGGGAGACTTGTGCGGAACGTCAGACACCATGCATGCACTCTTGGTGATCGTGGTCTGTACCTTTCATTATTCACCCTGAATAAACTGCCAACCAGGCATGCAAGAGTCACCATAGGACCTGTCCACCATATCATCCATCACAGAAGAGCGAGGGCCCCATATAAAGGGTTGCTAAGGTAATCTAACGTCAACCCTGGTTTCACCCACAAAATCAATCCGCCCGCAAAGAAGTGCTTCAAACCAGAAGTCTCTATGAATCAGGGGGTCCACATCACTAGGCATGTTTGCTTACATCATAGAGGTTCGAGCCTACAGCAGGCAGATCTTGTATAACAGAAATCCCCAATTCTCCGAGGTGGTCGCGAGGTCCCACGTCCGAGAGCATAAGGACTTGCGGAGACCCGATAGCTCCCGTGAAAACAATGACCTCTTTTGCAACAGTGGCTCTATACTGAGGCCCGGATCTATGCACTAGGAGCTGCACACCACATGCTTTAGGCTTGCCGTCGGGCGCTGATTTGAACAAAATCTTCTCAACCATAATCTCGACGCAACGGTCAAATTAGGCCTCTGTAAGACGTTTCTGGTCAGATACGCTGTGGCGGCCGGGCTCCCTAGGCAGATTTTAATTTATTCTCATCCACGATATTGAAATCACTCACCATGCACGTACTTTCATTCTGTTGATCCATAAATCCAGTGAAGGCAAATGTGCCTATTGTGCCTTCTGGGGTATTTAGATCCCGACAGGATGTGAGCATCTCATGAATTATAATGTAGAGATGTACCTACTTTGAGCATGGAATGCCTATGTTCGCAGCAGCTTCAGCAGCATGGTTCGCAATAGGCTAGATGTACATCGAGCAAGAGTCGGCCTGGTGTCTTTGTCGAATAGACATGATGCACCATGACGGGTACGGCTCTTGTTAGCCACAGTCCGGAGTCACCGTGAAGGGAGATATCGACAGGGTCATCTTGCTGCGGATTGTATTTCTCCGCCTTTCTGAAATACCTGTATACGTTTTGTAACCTCTACACATGAACTCAATGGAAACAATGCCACTCGTACTTCCTCGTCGTTTCGTATCCCCATCCTACTGCTCCTTGCTTCTCCCAGGAGTCGAAATCTATGTTTCGTTGACATCTGGTATTGCAAACTTAATAAAATTGTTCCGACCTTCGGGAGCGCAATGATGATACAGCAATGCATTCATTGAACTAAGTCGAGCTTAGATGTGATCCCAAACCACAACGCTGTTCAGCTTGCCTTGATCCGCCAAGCAGTTTGCCTCTTGGCCAATAGACGGGTCGACCATCCAGTCCCGGTTGGGGTCTGATCCAGTAAAGTCAATTCTTTTCCAACATTATTCATTGCGAAGTACTTACACGGTCATCGTCAACCAATCATAGGGACCTCTGAACATTTGGAAGAACCCGATGGGGACTCAGCTGAGTAGGACATTCTCATTACTACATAGATATATTTAGTCAATGTTATGGAAGACGATCGCAAGTTACCTTTTACTGCATTCCGGCCGAAGCACTGTGACGTTAGGGTCTTCTGACAATCTGGAAGCCAGAACGCAGCTGGCAGTTCCTATCTTGGTACATGAGAGGGAGATTTAAACAGACGGCTCAAGAAGCAGGCTGTACATACCACCTCTAACAATTACATAATCATACGTTCTGTACTCTTCGCCGCCGTCAGCAAGACTATCGTTTGGAGGAACCACGGTCGCATAGCTAATCGGATTCGACACAATCTGCTTCGAGTGGCTCATGCCCATCCATTTTCTGAAGATGATTCACTCTTCGGCTGCTTCACGGTGGTCACTAGTAAACGAAGGCAAAATGCAGTCGAAATGCACAAGCTGGCAAAGTGACCAATGAATGAGCGGACGACAAAAACGAAGGTGAGGATCGTCCATACCCTGCATTTTGTCCCCGATAATGAATTCAGGAACTCATATTGCCAAGGGTTTGGCAGATGGAAGAGAACTCTAAGCGAACCTTCGGCTCTTCCAACATTCAATTCTACAGTTGCCGAGGAGTATCATGTATCTTGTGCAGTTAGTGTTGTCCAGGACCGGGCTTTTGAGCCTGAGCCAGGCCGAGCCGCTCTGCAAGCCAAGCCTAAGCCTGCTCTGAGCCTTTATGGAGGGCCCAGCTTGAGACCCCTGGAAATGAATGGCGCCAAGTCCCGCCATCCTCGAGTGCTCATAAGTGCTCATAAACATGGTGGGCCTCACGCGCGATGCCTGCGCTATCGAGAGCGGTGACGCAGATGATGTTGCACACCTGATTTTGTACTCAGCAAATGTTCGTGAATAATTTAACATCAGCACAACTTTTGGAGAACAATTAAAGTCTCACCAGTCACTACTCACTCCCCAAGGCATGTCATACTTTGAGAAATCGAGCCCATCATTCTCAATTATGACGAGCGGACCTATTTGTCACTGTACATCTTGACATGCCACCACGAAAAATCAATCCATGTCAAGTGTCATGTTTGATTAGAGTATGATTCCAGTGTCAACCAATTAATGTGACAGAGCCCTGTCATGTTTAACTTATAGTTTGCTGGAGTAGAAGATGCCTTGTCAGGCTAGAGGACTTGGATTCATTCACGCTGTAGCTACTCAGTATATATACATGTGGGATGAGACCCTGTACACCGTTCATGGACCTCTGGTACCTACAGTAACGTGATACTTACATAAATGAGTAATATCGTGCTGATACATTTAGCCCAGTGGCAACAGGTATTGTCCAATGGTATATTACTCTTTTGTCAATGTCCATATCGTATGATCCTGTCAGATTATACGATTGGTCCCTATGAATGGAACACTCCCAGATGTCTTCAGAACCTTCAGTGAGTTTCTATGACATTCTATTCCCTGCACATGATTGTCGCGTCACGTCGTACATGATCGATCGTGTAGATCATATCAGGATACAACCATTCCTTCAACACCCTCTCTTGATCGAACAATCAAGTCAAGCATGAGTGAGGTGAATATAGCGTGATAGCTTTTCTATCCTTAGATAACCAAGATTTTTGGTAAGCAAATCTGCATATTGTTCCTCAGTGGGAACATGATAGAGAGTAATTGACCCTTTCTCAGCCTCATGGCGTACACGGTGGTAATGTAGATCGATGTGCTTTGTTCTTCAGTCATGAGCTGGATTGACAGCCAGGAAGATTGCTCCTTGGTTGTCGACACAGAGTGGGAGTGGCATCCCTGTGCTAAATCCTAGTTCAGACTCAAATGATCGAAGCCAGATTGCCTGCTTAGAATAATCAGACAGTGCAATGTATTCTGCTTCAATGGATGACAGAGCCACAGTGGGTTGCCTCCATGTGTCTTAACACACCGGTCCTTCAGCTATCAGAAATAGGTATGCAGATATCGAGCGTCTGTCATCTCTGTTTTCTGCCCAGTCTGAATCAGAGTATCCGATTAGACCAGCATTGGAAGTTCCATAATACATGAGTGCATATGACTCAGTATGGCTGAGGTAACGTAAGATCCACATAGCGTACTTCATGTGTTCCTCTGTGGGGTGGTTGTTAAAATGTGATAGCCTGTTGACTGCATAGGCTATGTCCGGTCAAGTACCAAGGGTGATTCACAGTAATGCACCAATGACAGATTGGTATCGATGATGAAGCTTCATATCAAGATGGTGAGTGTCGCTGGCTTTCTCCAACTTGATACCGGATGGTAAGGGTGACCTTTTGGGTGCACAATTATTCATTCCAAACCGATCAATAGTCTCTAGTATATATTCTGATTGGTCAATACAGATAATACGAGCAGATCGATCATGTTGAATCCTCATTCCTAGGAATTGGGAAATGGGACCAAGATGCTTGATTTCAAAGTGTTTTGATAACCCCTTGATAAAAGCTTGGATGTGTTTCATGTTACTCCCCATAGGTAGTATATTGTCGACATAAACGATCAAAATGAGTGACTCCCCCTTGTGTCGGTAATTAATGTAAATGCCAGCATCAGATTCAACTCGTTGGAAGCCTAGTTCCAGTAAGGCAGCATGTAGTTTCTTATTCCATTGTCTGCCGGCTTGTTTCAAGCCATATATCGCCTTTTTGAGGTGGCAGACCTTATCTTCCATCCCGGAGACTACAAAACCCTCGGGTTGTTTCATATAAATTTCTTCTTCCAGTTTGCCATATAGGAAGGTGGTCTTTACATCAAGGGCTTCTACCTCCCAATCATGTAAAGCTGCATGTGCTAAGAGAAGTCATAATGATTCAAAGCGTGCAACTGGAGAGAAAATCTCGTCATAATCTATGCCGGCTTGCTGCTTGAAGCCTTTGGTGATGAGTCATGCTTTATACTGCGCACCAGGGTTAACAACATAAACCCATCGACAGAGAATGGCTTTACGACCTTTAGGAAGATCTACCAATTCCCAGGTACCATTAGCCATTTGAGATTGAATCTCATCCTCCATAGCATCTTGCCAATGATCATGATCATGTCGAGCCATGGCTTGCTTATAGAAGAAAGGGCTAGGACCATAGTCAGGATATGCAGATAAAATGAATTCTGCTGGTAATTGTTCTAGGAGATGCATTGAAGAGAGTGCCTTTTCTATGATAAGCCGTTCCACTTCAGAGGGTGTAGTGGCATCAAGACGATCAATTATGTCATCAAGGTCTCTTTCAATTTTGACCGGTGGTCAGTTTCCATAGGCATTGTTGAGTTTAGGTTTATACTTAGGAACCCGCTTCGAACGACGAAGTGTTGTATATGGCATGTTAGCAGTAGGGTTAAAGAATGGTAAAGGAACATCTCCAAGAGCAGGATGTCGAGGAGGTTCATCAAATGGGTCTTCCTCATTTGAACGATAGTCTTTACTGAGTGGATCTTGGTAATCCTCCATGAATAACCCCTTTCGCTTAGTCCCTGCATGGTATGTGTCACAGTTTTACCTGACAAGTCATTATAGGAACATATGCTATTAGAGGCATATCATTTTTTATCATTTCACGTCGCACAAAGAATCACGTGACCTAAAGAGATAAGATAATGAGGCATCTAGTCACATGACCTCGGATCTCTCTCAGCATTGTTGCGTGACACCAAGTTCCTCGACATTGCGTCATATGTCGCAATTGCCATGACACCATATTGCGTGCTCAAGAGGAGCTCCGTCTCCACGGGGTATTTTTAGGCAGCCAATCAGGATAATTGGGACAAGTCATACGATTGTAGCACGGTCCAGTAGCATAGCGTGTGACTCACTTACGTAGTACTGTATGATAGACAATCATGTATATAAGGACCAGCGAGATGAGGAGGAGACCTCAGTCTTATTCTCCTTCATCCACCACTACCATCACAGAGGGGTCTTACCAGACACTCTCAGTGTGCTATATATCTAGTATCATTCTCACCATTGTGATAGTGCCCCTCGCCTCACCAGTAAGTCTTACTCTGCGACTAGCAACTCGGCCTCATCAGTGGGCACGTCGTATCACCACAGCTCATCACTGTAGGCTTTTACCCAGAAACCCTCAAGGGGACTCTTAGTTTGGGTTGTCTATCTTTGTCACCGGCGTGCCATGACATTAGAATAAGACTGACCTTTTACACCCCTACCAAGTGTCTCACACTGGTAGCTGCACATTTTCACCCAGAGACACATCCGCCCAGGGCAGGGCTTTTTCCACACCACTTCCTTCATACCATTCCATTTCGCCTCTACTGCCTAAGCCGCTTCCTTCCTTCAAAAGGAACAGCACTGCACCGACCAGTAAGGCACCTCAAGTACACAACGGTATTGTTCTGCCCAATGGATGCTACCACCCGTACCATTCTCATCCCAACTGCACTCATCGTCTAACAGCAAGCAACCTACTCTGGGCCAAGCTGAACAAAGCCCCTCACTCAGACCAACAGAAGCTGCATACTAAGGTCAGCTCGTGGGCTGAAGCAGTTTCAAGAGATGCATCTGACCCATCCATCCCTATCTACAAACCCCATTGGTGGGCCAACAACGACGCTACCACTGTCCTCGCATTCGCACTCTCAAAGAGTTACCATCTGCATGGGATACATGAGAATCCCAAAGGCACCCTCCCCGAGAACATCGCACCCACTGTACATGCTACCATTCAGCGGTACAAGGTCTTGCAGCAACCCCATATCACTGCCAAGTTCATGGAGGCACAGATTCAGTGTCACAATCGCATTCTGCGACACTTAGGAGTGCTAAACGAAAGGATTGGGTGAGGCGATGACTTCACGTTTGTCGATAGACGCATCGCAATCAAGCTTTGCATAGGACTAGGAAAGATCTCGTTTAGGGGAATCAACAAGGAGCAGGAATGCATAGGGAGAGATATCATGAGATTCGAGAAGGAGTCGTGCTACTGGCCTTACTAGGA